GCCCGAGCACGACGAGTCGGAGCCCGCTTCCTCCGCGCCTGAGTCCCCGCCACCGCCTGAGCTGAACCACGCTGCAGAACAAAATTGGTTTTAGTTGACATATCGGCCCATCCAAAATTACACATCTTCGAATCTCCGAGAATCTCATTTAAGAGATTTGAGTCTTTTCATCACACAAGTACATTTCTTTGTTAGTTTTTAAGGGCTGAATACTAACTAGTTTTACATGATGCAAACGAAAAATAAGCATCAATGAAAATTATGTTTTATCATCTTGGTAAGTGAATTTTACCGGTAGGAACTAGTACTCACAGCTGTTAGTGTGCTGGGTGGCGGAGGGTTGCGGCGGCGGGCTGGCGGGGCCGCCGACGTCCAGCGGCCGCTCGTCGTCCTCGTCCCGCGCGTCGGCCCGCGCCGTCAGCAACGCCTGCCTGCGGTACACCGACAGACTACTCGTGTTACCTTATGCACAATACTATACTCATATCTTACATCTATATAAAACATCAACAGGAATTGTAGAAAGACATTTTGAGATTGATTTTTGAAAAGTAATGCAGCAATTTAGTGGGACAAACGGGCGGCGAGAACACCGAGGTGGTCAACGGCGCCCATGGACGTCTGCAACATCAGAGGAACTACAAATGCGTTGCCGGCCTACGTATCTGCGATTGTCCGTTAAAACACTATAACAAAATTAGTTGTTTTTATTAAAGACAATGGCAATAGAGTCGTGTAACAAATAAATGCTAGCACTAAAAACGTCTATAGTAAACCAAGATTTGTCACAACTTCACACTACTCTAAGCTTAGTTGTGTAATCTCATTTATTTTAAGGCCGCACCTGCAACTACAATGTAACTGCATTGTATTTGTTACAAAGTAATATAAAGTGTGCAACGCATACTAGAGAATTAACATGTACTCATTACATTTGTATCTAAACATAAGAAAGCACACAGACATCTTTACAGTAAGACTCAATGGCGTTTTGTGCCTCATTTTTACCTCAAACTTTGTATTTATTAAAACATTTTTCATGTCCAACCTAAACAACCTAAAAACAAACGGTTTCCCTATTTAGGCAACACAAGAAATAACTAACTCTAAAAGAGTGAATAAAATTTTAGAAGAACAATTAATAAGCGAGTTAAATGTTTTTCACTACCAAAACGGACTATACAAAAACCACCTTTCCATTTTGAAATTTATATAAACCGATATGAAATGTAAACAGGTTTCGTCAGTGGTAACCCACGCTTAGTACGCAATGCGAGAATATTGCTAATAGCATTTGTGATCGTAGCGCCGCGGCTTTAGAATCCCCAGTAATGCACCGCATGTGTTGACAAGAGTTATGTCAAACATCTATATTAACAAGGTAATTATCGATAACAAGAGTAAATACTGTTTCGTCTTTTATTTTGTTAAACACTTTACTATCTATACTATTATAATAAAGCGTAAACACACACCACTTTGTTGCCTAAGATGTTAGCAATTACAGCATATTTTTATGTAATTCTTTCTTTAATAAAAAGCCCTACACTTACGTGACGCTTTAGGCTATATATTTTCACGCCATTAAACTTAGTGGTAAATATTTTGGATAAAAAACCTAACGTGGGAAAGAGGTCATAAGTTGCTGCCAACATCAAGGAAGCAAGATTGCCAAGGTTTGTAATGTCATGTCATTTTGACATTTGCCTGTTAGTTTGATAATTTCATAAATGTAAATAATAAAAAAATGTTTTCATGTTATGCGGATGAAGCCGCACAGGAACAGCTAGTTAAGAATAAAATACCAAGTATATGTTAATTTTTTGTTCTTTGGTACACGACTGAAACTTCTATGCGTCATAAAGATTACACTTATACTGAGATGACGTATGATAGAATTATGTGGAGGACAAAAACCTGTTGCGGCACTACGGGAGTAGGATAACGACGATGATGATGAAGGAATATTACACATATAGAAAACATTTAAAATACGACAAAAAAAGCGAATTAAAATATGGATGGATCGTGTCAAAGTACAAATGTAAGACGGGTGCAAATTACGTATGACCAACGTAAATGTACGGAAAAGTACTTACTCTCACGTCCCTTCTGTTAAAAAAGGGAAATAGAGATTTATTTAAAGACAAAATAAATTATACGATAGTTGTAAACAGGAAACTTTTATATCTAAAAAGGGACTTAATCATAAAGTCTTAATTACTTCTAACAACTATTAGTAAAAATTTTGCTTATACTCAGTTTATATCTAACTTTAACTTTATATCGCGTTTATTTCTAAGGCTATAAAAGTCTAATCAAGCCTAAGAAATATCTAATCAACGATAATAACTTCATAATTATAGACAATGATTATACAAGACAGAGCACTAAATAACATTTAAATGTCATGCATTTAGCGAAAGACTTTAATTATTCAAATGCAATCGTGAAACACAACAGCTGTAATACTCCGATGACAGGACTCCTTACTTTATATAGTACAAGACCTTTTGAGGTATGAACTAATTCACGTTTATAGAAAGATATATTGTAGTTTATCTATTGTAAAATGGCTAACAAAATTGTTTCAAACATACACATATATAAAATACTAGCTGTTCCCGTGCGGCTTCATCCGCATGCAACTGTAAAAACTTTATTTTGTTCTTTACATTTAACAAATTCTCAATTGCAACATGCTGTAATTGCTGACATCTAAGGCAACAAAGAAGTGTGTGGTTACGCTTTATTATAATAGTATAGATAAGTCATAATTTACCGTTAAGACAATTAACCCTATAGAATTACTCAAATGATTGTCAATTACATCACCAGCTCACTACACGTCTCCAGTAAGAGGCTCAGAGCCTATCTAGAAGGGGTGACTTTTTTTTTTATTATCTTTATTTTGTACACATAAGCAATATTACAACACAGTAGAAGGGGTGACTAGGTCATAGTCAACCACGCTGGTTCACTTCGGATTGGTTGACTTCACACATATCTTTGAATTTTATCTCCGATATGTGCAGGATCACGATGTTTTCCTTCATCGTAAGAACATCATATCAATTATGTACATAGGAAATTCGAAAATCACATTGGTACTTGGCGACATTCGAACCAAAGATTACAATGGCTTAAACCCCTGAGCCATTGACGCTCAATGATTAACTATCTAATGAAAAATTTGTGCCTTAAATTGTTAAAATGACACCTTGCACTTTTATCCCTCAGAGGGTGTGAATGGTTTGACATTTTGTGTAATGGGCCGCCGCGACCCCCGGCTACCGAAAGGTTAATCATCTCCTAATGATAGTGCCCAAACCCTAAACCGCCCTTTCACGGAGGTGTGCACTTTTAAATGTAAAAAGCGAAAAATAAGACCTCTTCAAAGGACATCTGACTTTATAGTATCGGATCATTGGTTCGGACTCATCCTTTGATCAAGTTATCGAGAAAGGGATTTTCATTTATTTTCACATCACTAGAAATGTTCTTTAATATATACCAAGAATCTAAACTTAAATTATAAATATTCAAAACCTTTTAAAAATAATACGAGAGGCTATAAAAGGAACTTAAAAGCAATGCAAAAGGCAATTAATATTCTATTTGACGTTACATTAAAAATAAATCACATGAAAAGTGAAACGTATAAAAAGATTTAAAAACTTCACCCCAAAAACCGCGGAGATGCGGCAATTATTTGCCTTGTGTCAGCGAGAAAAACAAACAAATGTATTATGGGCATTGTTTTAGGGGCCCCTGGCTACCGGCGCGCCGTCTTCCCAAGCTGATTGCCGGCACCCGCTAAATTCATTTTATTAACTCGTCTCATCACCGCCTGATAGAATTTAATTTTCCCTCTCCCTTAATGTAGGGCTGCCACAAATTTAATTAAAAAAATATTTATCACAAGTATACATAAAAAGTTACGAGAATATAAGCGTGCGAGAATATGAGTTGAGAACTCATTTTTTTTATTCCAAATTTGGGAATGCTGCTGTACATAAAATTAAAAGAAAAAGTACATATTTATGACAGTTTATACTGGAATTAGAAGCAGTAAAAGTATTACAATTTGGTTTTGACTTTGTGTCAAAACAAAAATTGGTTCCCTCTACTTATTTTTGCTTTATCTACTTTATTAGAATTTAGTATAGATTAAATGGTGTTAATTAAAAATATCACTTCTTAAAAGATCACATATTCGTGTTTTAAAGACAAATGGATGAGACAACCCTAAACTAATCTCGTATTAGGGTGTTCGCGTTACAATGTAAACGGTCTACAGCGGGGTGGGCCTTGTAATTTTGGCAAATTTTTATCCCTAAAACGCTGCAGTTAGTTCGCGACCCCTCGGATGGTAAGCTTTTTATTGAATCCATTGTCGTCGGTAAGACAAGGACGGGGTATTAAAGAGGTGCCCTGATTCCCTCCACATTGTCTGTTTTAACCACAGTAACCGCGGAACAAATTCAATTTGTACAGTTATTTTAGTTGTTTTAAATTACTTTGTCGTAGGCACCTTCTGGTACCTTCTTTTTCTAGTGTATTTTTTCTTTTATTATTTGTGTCCTTTCCGATTAAGAAAATAATACTTTTAATACTCTACTGTTATTAAGAATATAATTTTAATAAAGCCGTTTGAGATTATTTTGCAAAAAAAAAGTTGTAACGCAAGTCGGCATAGTAAAAAAGCGAGTTCAAAACGTCAACTTCGCTTTATAATAAATAAATTAGTAGAAATTTTTAAATTCGCATTAAATTTTGTTTTTTCGTTTATAACAGTGAGTTTCAGAAACTAGGTTGACATAAAACAGGCGTGCTAAACATTGAAGAAAATAAACAATTCGATACAAATACCACATTTATTTTAGCTCTTAACAAATACTTAATTACTTGTTTATTACTAAACTTTAAAGTGAAGTACTTAGAAACGCAATAAATAAATTTACTAACAATTACTTCTTCTAATAAAACTTTATATTTCGAACATAACATTATTAAATACCTTATTTAACAAAAACCAAGATATGAATAATTGTCAGTAAGTCTCAGGACTTAAATAAAATACTATCATAATCATTTATGTTAACTCGTGTTATTTACTTGTCCTATGAATAACTTAATGCGATTCAAGTTATGGATACTACAAAATTTATATGATATGAGAGTGAGAAAAATCCGTGTAAACATAACATGCGGTCACAAAGGCGACGTGGTGCGTCACACGCGGCGGGCATGCGAACAATCGTCCTGCAATAATTCACCATCGTAATAAGGTGACCACACGGTAGTCTTGAAAAGTAAAGTATTATTGTATTTATAGATGTATTACTATTAAGCAAAAAATACTAATTCATAGATTCTTAGCGTCATGTTCCAAAAATTTTATATTACTTACACACACTATGTAGATCTCTTTTATCTTCTCTGTATTTCTTTAAAAAAGAAGGAGTCGACAGTATGTTTTAGTAGTTAGTCTTTTGGTAATAGAATTTCACAGTTAAAATGACGAGTAACTTAATATTTCACTGGATATTTCATTCAAAGATTTCTGCTCTTATTACTTTACTTTCATATCATTTAATATTATTTATTACTAAATTAATTTTATAAGGTGTGCTTTTAAAAGTAGTTTCTTCTTAGAAAAAATTAAAACACATTTTTCGTTTAACGAATATTTTGCAGGCGCTTTTAAATAATTAGACTTAAACGTCGAATACAATTACGTACGCTTTTCTAAGAAGCGCTAGGCAAGTCACTCTTATAATATTTAAATCGTATTTTTTATTCGTAACAACTTGAAACAAATTCCATTTCCATTACTTTGAGTCTAAAAATCTAAAAAATATTTCGTTACTTCTCTTTCACAAAATTTTAAATGATATAAATTTAATCTCTCAGTAATTTTTGTTTAAACTTTATTTTAATACAAGTAAAAGCATTTGGAATATAAAAAATAATTCAGTATTTCTCATTTAGCGCCAAATTATGCTGACATATATCCCTAATTGTAACAACTGCATGGGGACACTACAAGACAAAGGGAAGCGTTGAGTTATGCGGCATGTGTCCCGCTGTTCGCTTTTCCCGAGCGCGGCGTTTGTCAAAACGCTCACGTTTCCCGCGCTTCCGGTCGGCGGCCATTTTGAAAAGATGAGTTTCCGCCGTCCGGCCGCGTTGCCTCTAATTCGGAAGCTGCGGCGCGCTGCTTCCGGCGCAAAATGTTAAGTAAGGAGCATTACATTATCCCCGGACGTGTACTTTTTAAAATTGCCTCACACTCGGTTTACATGAAATTGTGGAGGAAACAATGTCATTATCAAGTCTATGTAAGTATTTTGGTAAATTTTCTACATCTAGAAGTAATGTTTAAAATAATAAGACATTTATTTTGAATTGCCATTCTTGAAGTAGAAATTGGACCCTTAATGTGTTTTTAGGAAATGGAATAATTTATTTTGTGAAAGTTAGTAAAACCCCAAAATAATGGTCCCTTTATCTAAAGAAATAGTAGTAGCCAATTAGGACAGTTCAAATAATAGAATGATAGTCTTCGGCGTCTCATTTAATACACGCAGAAGACAATAACAAGATACTTCTATCCCAATTGACGAAAAAGTGAGAAGTCATTTTAAACGACTGGTCGTAATATAATGCATTATTAAAAACCACACACGAAGCTTTTAAGCGTTATATCGCTCGTTATCGGGTTAAGTCACGATAACTTTTCAATTAGCGCCGACAGCCGTGTCAGTGGTCCTTTTAAATATGGAAACTGAGGACTGGGCGGTAAAAGAAAAAAGCTTTTAACATCGTTTACGTGAATGAAGATGACTCTATTGTCTCAACTTCTAAGCGGCCTATTTTTTTCTACAATAAAACCTATCTCTTCCTGAGGCATTTCTTTTCTTTCTGGTGCTGGCAACATATTAATCATACCGATAATAAAAATGCGAAAGTTTAGACAGATGGACGGATGTCTGTTAGAGTTTGTAGCCTTAACAGCTGAACTGATTTCGATGAAATTTGGTACAGATGTAGAGGATAGTCTGGAAGAACACATAGGGGGTACTCACTTTTTTTTTAATTCCATGAGGAGGAAGTCGTGGGCGAAAGCCAGTTAGCCATAAATACGACTGAAGAATGTTGCATTTTTATATAAAAAAAAAACTTTAATTATAAATGTACCGATCCTTCGTAAGTATAAAAGCAAGGAAGATGGCGAAATTGTACTGATCACTATATACAGAACTGGTCTTGTTATGTGATCTTTGTTGTTTTATAAACAATTAAAAAACCGTAGGTCTATTTTTATTCGCTAAATAGATGCTAATTGGGTTCTCAATCGAATTAGACATTACCGCGAGCTATCCCCCGCGGCGCGAGCAAATTACGCGACAGGAAAAAACCCGAAGTCGATTTTATCGTGGAAATCCAATTTTCTCCCCGGCACGCTAAAGACGAAGGAAAAAGCGAGTGGAATGACTTCACCATTCCGAGCACTGCTGTTTTAACCGAACACGAATAAGGAGGCGCCGGATTGGCTTAATTTGAATTTTCAACGGCACAGCGCCGTGTCGGGTGTCGGCTGGGGTAACCATTACTGTGTCATACGTTTGGGATAATTAATGTTGGGTCGGGCAGGTATACTTTAGATATCTATATTAAAGGACAGTTTCATTATGCGGTACATGATCGTTTATTTGAAAGGTTGCAATGATATAAACAATATTTTGAATAGTTAATTAATTGCAAGTTCTCCTATATATGTTACCATTTAATATTTTCTACTTTAACTTCACTGATCCCTTGGACATTTTTTGTTTTTAAATTGTTGGCTTTCAAAAATCGAATGTCAAAGATAAAATTGTTCGTAAACAAAATAAATCAAAAGCGAAATGGGATATGGCGTCTATGGTGGTCGTACTTTGGGCGGGTGCATTTGTGGCGTCGGTGCTCGTGCCCTAATTAATTTGGAGCGATTCGCAGATAGCGGGCTAATTTCGTTAGCCGCTCACTTCGCTAAACGCTTAATCTTTCCCCTTTTACTCCAAGCGAAACGATATCATATCGTATAATTTTAATGTCCCGATCAAAGATTACGACTTAGGTATTTAGATTTCTGATAAATATGTCCCTTTTACATTTGTCTGTTTATCTACATAGGATTTTTGGTTTATTGTGTCCTGCATTTTCCACGTGAATCAATATCATAGAATTGATACTTACTTCTTTTCTCTCTTCCCTGCTCCCGTGTCTCGGAAGCCTTTCGCGAATGGGTTGTTGTCTATCTTTAACTGCGTTATCTGTGAATATAAATATCACTTTAAAATAAAAATAAAATCATTGTGAAAATAACATTATCATGATCTTACTTTTACTAACAATTGCTGTCAATTTTCACCAAAATCAGCGCTAAAACGTAATTTTAACACTCAAAGACTGCTGGCTTTCTAAACAACTATATGTCTATTGAGGCCTATAGCGTGGAAAAGCCTAAGTCCATCCGTGGGCAGATAAAGGCTGATCTGCTGTACAATCTCCAAGTAACATGGGCAGTTCATACCAAGCCGATGATAATTAGTCTATACGTGATACGCACCTTTTCATTCTGGTATGCGGTGACTGCAATGAACTCCGTCTCTTTAAAGACGTAGGTGCGGAAGGTGGAGTAAGGCAGCTTGAGGATGTCGTTGGCGCGCACGAGGTGGAACCGCGGCTGGTACTTGTGCATCGAGTTCAGGATCGTCTGCGTGACACACTTCAAACAGCTTAGGAACTTGATCTGTTATCTTATCATTCATATAGATTTATACAAGTACAGACTAGATTTGCTAATATAAAATGAGTACATAACACTTTTAATACTCTTTAATTTACGGACAGTATGTAACAAGAAGTACTTTAGTTATGAATGTGGAGGAGGACATCGGTAGAGGTAGAACTAGACAGAGATGGATGGATTGAATGATGGATGACAGAGTTATGTGGAGGACGAAAACCCGGTGCGCCTACCCTGCGTGAGTAGGATAAGATAGGATAGGATAGGAAATGGTGAAGTCACGGACTACAATACATAAGGTTAGTCATTTGAACCACCATTCGTTTTAACCAATTAAGACCGACGTAATCAGCGGCTAATATAGTTTTTGATCAAAGATGTCATATGTTATAAGCAAGAGTAAGAGAAATCAATGCATTAAAAGTTTGAATCGTTAATTATCTAGCAGATATTGTGTGACAATAGCAGAGACGTCATCAGCGAGTGCAATTGATTGCGAAGGTAACAGCGCGCTCGCCGTCGAACCTGCCTCATTGGGGGCATCGTAATTGGTTGCAATTCATCGAATCGCCAGCCCACAATAGTTGCGATTCATCAAAACCACTCGGCGCTCTCGTCTCTTTCATTACGATACTGAATCCACTTGGATATTTTGCATCTGTAGTGTAGCGTTCAATAACAAATGCCATACCTTAATTACTGGCTGTATAACGAACATTTTTTGAAGGTTTATTTAGTATCGGTTTGAATTTGAATATAATTTGATACATCTATTTTTGTAAATTGTTAAAAACGTGTTGAAGCATATTTTTATGTTATGACTGATTGCGTATTTGTTACCTATACCTATATTATAAAGAGGAAAGATTTGTATTTTTGTATGAATTGAATGTATTGAAATAACTCAAAAACTACTCGACTGATTTTAAAAATTCTTTCACCATTAAAAAGCTTTATTACCATTGAGTATCACAGTCTATTTTTTTTAATTTAACGCGGACGAAGTCTTGGCTAACAGCTAGTATTATGTTTCTCCGTAGGCTATGTATAATAATCGACTACCCTCACTAGCTATCTACAATTCTAAGACCGTCAATTTCTCGCAAATGGTACGTAGTCTGAAGTGCGCTCTATTTGATCTATGTACTTTCAACGACCCTTGTTCACTTGATACTTGCAGCTATAATAGACCTATTGCATGCACTACCTACGTTTTAGTTCCTTACTTATTTTGCGGAGCTATTTTATACTAGCTGTTCCCGTGCGGATTCGTCCGCATGAAATTATGAAAATATTATTTTATTGTTTACATTTGTCAAATTATTAATAGCAAATGTCAAAATGGCATGACTTGACAAACCCTAGCAATCTTTCTTTCTTGATGTTGGCAGCAACTTATGATCTCTTTCCCACATTAGGGTTTTTATCCAAAATATTTACCCCGTAAGTTTAATGGCGTGAAAATTTATAGCCTAAAGCATGACGTAAGTGTAGGGTTTTTTATTTAAAAAAATGTATTCAAAAACTTGCTGCAATTGCTGACATCTTAGGCAACAAAGAAGTGTGTGTTTACGCTTTATTATAATAGTATAGATAGTATAGATGCAACGTTACAGATTTCGTAATATTAAAGAATTTTTTACAATGATGCCACGCACTCGCGGAAATATCATTGGGGGCGCATTTCGGCCCGCCGCCGCACCAGATGAAGAAATATGATTTGCCGCAAACTTGTTAACTTTGTAAAGTATTACATCAAATGATTAGCTAACATTAATACCAGAAGAAATGAATGGTAAAAACTGCTTCAATAATAAAGTTACATCGATATGGCATTGCAATAGCGGCCGCTGTTTCTCACCCCACGTGTCATTAAGGTTCATTATTGCGTGCGCCGATGAATCAAACATGAGGTGATCACGATCTCTTTCAAAGGCGGCAGTTAAAGAAATCAATGCCTACTTGACTATAATTGACCGGCCGACTTAACTAGGCGCATTCTACCAAGATTGAACTATACAGGTGGAGAAATGACATTTATTATTGAATTATTAATTTCTTTCATTGTCTATTAAACGAGGATATATTACGTGACTATCTTTTTTACAGGGGGTAAATTATATTTCGAATTTAACTGATAGTGAGGAAAGTTCTGGAATAAAGCGTATTTATTACAATATTATAAAGTGTAAAAAGTCGGATTAGTGGAGTATCTAAGAATGATCTTCGACCGGATTATTCCCAACCGTCACCCCGTTCTGCCCTACGTGAGAATAAAAATTTTCATCCGTCCCACCTTTTAGTCCCACTATCACCAATAAGGCGACAGATGGAACCGTTATGAAACAAAATAAGTACCAACCGTCACGCTGTTGAAAAAGGTAGGACAACTCAAACTTTTTATTATCATCTGTCTCCACGTGGGGACAGAGCGGGATGACGGTTGAGAATAATCCCTTCGACCTGTAGACTGATATATTATTAAATGAAGTAAGTGAATTTGACAGTAAAGGAATGTTTAAATAACTATTAAACTACTCTGAGTACGGCAATAATTCAATATCTCTGTCTATACAAATACTATAAAGGGGAAACACTTGTATTTTTTATCTATTGTAATAACTCAAAAACTTCTTAGACGATTTTACAAAAGCTTGCATCGTTAAAAAGCTGTTATCAGTGAGTAACAAAGGCTTTTTACTTATTTTTATAATTTCACGCGGACGCAGTTGCGTGCTACAGCTAGTATGTAATATAATGTTAAATTATTTTTCGGATGAAACGGTAATCTGTTATTATACGTTAAAATATTAGTGAGCGAGTCGCTCGTTACCGAGCGGTTTACATAATGACATGTTAACTTTGACCCTCCGTCACACAAATTATAGTATTAGCCATTCAATTTAAATCGTTTATGACATTTTTGTAGCTTATTGTCATATTCGCTCCCCCAGTAGTGCACGTCCGAAAGTTTTGTAGTAAATTATCTTGTTTGTAAAATTAACTATTTTGTTAAGTTAGTATTTGTAGTGCTTTAGTGGAATTTAATGTTATTTAAAGTTAGACGAATGAGTCAAAATTACTATTTTTATCGACAAAGTGTTTTATAATTGACGGCATACTTGACCACGTACAGCGACATCTAGCGGTCGGTAGCATAAAACAATAAACAAACCTGCGGACGACATTTATACGTGAATCTTTAAACTCTGTGAATCTCTATTTAAAAGTTTAATTTTACTAATATCAATAAATACACGTTTATGCAGAGTTTTCTACTATAGTAATAACATTTACAAACTTTAGGTTTACATTTAAAACATCGTACTAAAGTAAATAATGTAATCTAGAATCTTTGCTAGAGACGCACTAGACGGAGAGCTGTCCACTTCGTGTAGTGGATCTTCGATGTTTGCAAACTAATGAAGCAAAGCGCCGAGGCACTATTAAAATGACAGACGCGTATGGACGTAATCTAGATATGTGTCCATTGTTGCCGGTGGTTTTGTTTTGCAAAAATAATCTGTTTGTATGCAAAGATATCTATTAGAATTCCTCGACCGCTGTCGAGTGGGCAGACCGCTGTTTATCAATATTCAAAGCGTTTGTACTATACGAGGAGACGCTGGTGTAAATAAGTCCCGGTTACTGTACCATGGAAACGGATGCATATAATGTCATACATACATACAGAAGTTTGAAATGTACTATAGTACAAACGCAAAGAACATCTCTTTAACCTTTTTTTTTTCTCTTCTTGACTACTTTAAATAACAATAGACGAAAGATACTTTATCCTATAAAAGCTGTTGCCCGCCATTTCGTCCGCGTGAAATAAAAAAGTAATCAAGAATATAGCTTCTTGTTAATGATAATTTACTTTTTAAATGGCGAATGAATTTTTAAAATCGATCCAGTAGTTTTTATGTGAATCAAATACATACAAAAATGCAAATCTTTCCTCTTTATGATATTAACATGGATAAGTGTATACCACATGTTAAATGCACTCAGCACAACGTCGAGTTAATTTACGATTTCCTATTCAAAGTACTGAAGTATCTGAATTAAAAATACCAAAATAAATTAAAACGGAATGCACCGTTGGGCAAAGCGATGAGCGACAAATCAAGGTCCCAGCGGATATGACGTCATCAACTCATTCAATCGAATAAAACGCAATTTGAACTAATCGTAACTATGAGGTCGGCACAATTAGTCGATAGGATTTGTTTTATAGCGTTAAATATTTACTATTCGATACAATTCATTTGCAATACATACCAAATTGCATGAATATAATAAAGTTTCTTAGTAAAGCTAAATTAATTGACGAGATAAATGCTAAACTTATAGTTGACTAGCTTTCGCTAGCAACTTTGTCCGCGTGGAATAAAAAAAAACGTTAGTAGCCTTTGTGTCCTTCCAGACCAACTCTACCTATGCCAAATTTCATCGAAATCGGTTCAGCAGTTTAGGCTACAAACTCTAACAAAGATCCATCCATCTAAACTTCCACATTTATAATATTACTAAGATTATTGTGTTCCTCGTTATGTTATTATATTTTAATAAAGAAATCCACGATTTGTCCTTAAACAACAAGCCCTTATTTTCAAAATAATTAACGTTAAACAATATTATTTAACGTTAAAAATAATTTATTTTAACATTGTTTGAAGAAAGATTTTCATTTTAATTCAATTACAAAATAGTCTATTATTTTTTTGACAAATATAAATTGCATCATAGAGCGACTAAATAACTTGATACTTTAATGTAATTTTGTAACTGCCAAGTATCGTTGAAAGCGATCATCATCCACTTGCCCTTATCCCGTACGGAGGGTCGGCACAGTATGTGCTGCTCTTCCATACATTTCTATCAGCCGTCATATCTGAATTCACTCCTTTCTTAAGCATATTCTCTTTCACACAATCCATCTACACTTTCTTCGGTCTTTTTCT